AATATCAAACTGAGATCAAGCTTAATATGAGGGAACTGGTCTATGTCACATGGGTATTTTCACTATTATATCAGAGTGTCACAAAGTATCGTGATCTTAGAACTACGCCTTTTTTCTGAATGACTAACTTAGAGGTGGTTTGGGGAATAGTTGCAACATTATGTTGCTGAAAATCGTTCCACTGAAAACAGACTAGATGCAGTTGGAAAACTTCAAGAATCACTTGGAGTATGCACTGTGGCTGGACAGACTCACCACCCAAGAATCACCTACAGGAGGATGGCAGGATTTCAATAGGCACTGCTGCAGCCCTGAGGCAGTACTAGCAGCCTAGGGCTACCCTCAATGCACGTAAGCGACTTGTTAATTAAAAGCTGTTTTCACCCATAATCTCCGTGCAAGTTTTCTGTGTATGGTTTCAGGAAGAAAAAAGATAATTTCAAAATAGGTATGGAGGGATTTAAAAAGAATAATACATTAAAATAAAATTATAACTAGGGCATTTAATAGTAATATTTTATGGGAAATTTTCGAGACCCACTTGCACATCAGATATTACTATAAAACGTTACTTAACCCTGACCTTTTTAAAAAACAAAAGATATGGGTGTGGAAGCAAAATACTTGACACAATGCAATGAAAGGGGATTAGTTTCTCATAAATGTTCCAACAAGGTAGCAATACCTATGAATGAATGATGCTTTCTGTTGATTTAGAAAACAATTTAATTAAATAGCTGATTTTCAAACTAATTAAAAAATCTTTAAAATTATTACATTATAAAGTTTTAATATATTTCTTTATTATGATTTCTATTATTAAGCTTGCTTTCTGTATTTCAATGGAATAATAATCTCTTATTCCAAAACATAACATTTCAATAAATTTCCCTGAAAATGCATTTCTATCTATTTAAAGAAAAAAAATCAATGTAAAAAGAAAAGTCCTTTAAAAAAGTACAAATTGCCAATCAGATAAATACTGACTAAAAAAACCCAAACAAACAATCCAAAAAACCCAAAACAAAAAAAAAAACCCAAAACACAAACACCTCTATTAATCATCTTTTTTATTACAGAGGGGTTTTTGCTGAGCTTTAAAAATTAAAACACCAGTACAAGCACTGGCACAAAGTCAGTGCCCTCTGAAGACTGCTCAGCTCAGGAACAAGATGAAATCAAAATAATTTTGATGAAATTGCAGGGAGGAAATAAAGAAAAAAAACACTTTGTCTCCCTCTTTACTGACAACAATAGATATTGCTATTCATTTTTGGGTTTAGTTCAAATAACCTCTTGAAAAAGATTTCTCTTCAGCAAAGTTAATTACTTTAACTACTCCTCCAATCATTATTCTGTATATAAGAATTGTTCCTGCCATCAAAATAAACTGTTAATTAATTGGGCAGTGAAAAAATCACAGCACTGTATCTCTTTTAGCAGCTGAACAGCAAGGTGATACGATTGAAACTGTGTGTGCTTAATGCTTCATCAGTCACACACAGCAATGAGTGTCCTCCTAAAGTGGAAAGGATGCACAAGTGAATTAGGAAAGACTGATAAGCAAATCACTGCTCTGTATCTTGTCCTATAGCTTCACAGCATTGGAGATGTATCTGAGCCATTTGGCTGAGGAAGCTCTATTCTGTTACTCCCCTACTGTACACAGATCAGCAGTGCAAGTCCTATCTGCACTTATCTTCCCTGAAGAATGTGATCTCTGTTTTCTAAGAAAGTTTCGTTGAATTTTCCTGGTTTTGTTTTTCTAATCACTGTTTTTATTTTCAATGACCTATGAATTGTTTGGAAATTAAGGAGAGACGTGACCTTGTTACCCTCTGACTATCTTTCAGACTCATCGGGGTTTCGGACAAACATTGGAGATATTTCTTGCAAACCATCACAGAAGGACATAAGTGCACTGTGTGGATGCTTCTGAGACATACAGCTTCCTCCAAATTGCTCCTTTCCTCATGGTTATGAGTGGAGCAAGACCCTGCCTCCATGTAGAGCAGCAGCTCAGCCTGTACAGTCTGTCCTGCTTGTCAAGTCATGCACCACTTCCAACCCATAGTTTCCCCAGATGCAGCCAAATCTTGAAGCAATACAAAACCCTTCTGCACCGTGTCATTGTGTGAAGTTAAGGGAAAGTGGATTAAAGTTGCCTGTTCCCAGACCAATCTTCCTCTTCCTGCAGGAGAAGGCTCAAGGAAAACTTGAGGGCACACCAATCTGGTGTCTTTTTAGAGTCCCATGAACCAGTGTGTTAATTCAGGCCTTAGAGAATCAGCATCTTCATAAAAAGCTCGCATTCTTACAAATGACATTCACTATCAGTTCCACCAAGATGGATAAAGCGTGGCTAGAGAGTGGACCCGGTCACAATATAATGATATGTCAAGGATATCTGAGCTGCTGCTGTTCTTGCCAAACCTCAACAACATGTAACTGAAGGCTGGTTTCTTTCAGAACTTCGTGATTTGGTATGTTTTGCTAGCACTATATTTTTTCCCTTATTAAAACAGAGAATGATGGAAGGAAAAATGCAAAAATAAATGCCAGCGGAGGGGAAAATAGGAGAGACAAAGATAAGAATATTTTTGCCCCTCAATTATAAGAATATTATGGATACAATATTCTGTTGTCAATCACTGGTTACAAATTCATGTTTGGAAAAAAAGAGGTACACTTACAAAAAGTAAAATATTTGCAAATATTTTTCCTTCTGACCCCTCTACCTCAAAATTACTGCCTGCTTCACTCAGAAAATCTACTTCTGGTCTTCCCAGGCTTTGTACAAACTGCTGCTGCTTCCCTTTTATCACAGTTGTCTTACTTCTTTCTAGACAAAATGCTTCTGGGCCACAGACAGTTGAATTATGGAGGAACTAGTCAAATCTGAGCTTGCCCTTCCTACTCCAAGCTACCATGATGGCTAACCTCTCTGACTGTGCTGGTTGCTTCAGAATTATAGTATTAAAGCTACAGGCACTTGGTAGTTATTTTTAGAAAAAAAAAATTTATTTATGATTTAGACACAAATACCATAGTGGTAATTTTTCAAAGGCAATAGTTTGCCACTAAGAAATTGCATATATTGATTCTCTGACACAAAACACTTTGAATTTTAGACTATTAGCACAAGAGAACCATAAAAACCTGATGTTTTCACTGTTCTGAAAAAATGGTTTCATCTTACCAAGACTGTTGCATGTACCCAGCAGATTTCAATTGTCAGGAGACTAAAAATGTCCAATTACCTTAAGAAAAACTGTTTTCCATGTGTATAATCATATTATTTCTACAAAGGCTATAGCATTATGTCATAAAAAGGAATAGCATAAAATATGTTTTCATGAAGATTATTTTTTAAATTTTAAATCTACTACCACCTTCAAGACAAAATTCATGTATTGCTCCACAAAATTCTAGCACTGTATGCCAGTTTAGAAAATAACTCAGCCCACAAATGAAGCCATTAAAAATATGGTTAGATCATGTTATAGATGAAAACACGGAACTGAAAACTTCAAATCAGTAACATATTAAACCCCAATTCCTGATTGTTCAAAGTTAAATCAAAATGTTCTTAAATTTAGAAGTCAAATTAACATGTATGTATGCTTTCAGCACCAATGCATTTCGAGCTTGCTGTGTGGGTATTTCCAGCTTGATTTCAGTTTCTTAGTTCAAATCATGATCTATTCCCAAGCCAGTTCTCTTATAATAAGTATTTTGGCCAGAGCATCAGCACAGAAATCTTTCTTTCTTTTTCTTTTTTTACCTTTTAATGAGAAAATTTACTTTGAGAATAAAAAAAAATTTGACATACTTTCAAAATATTTCCTTCCTAGTTGTATTGGGTCTGGTTGAGATGGTTTTCATTTCTGCATAGTAGCCCTCACAGTGCTGTGCCTTGCATTGGCAGCTAGAAGGCTGTTGACAACACACCAGTGTTTTGGCTACTGCTGAGCCCAGCATCAGCACTGTAACATTCCTTCCTCAATCGAGGGCAAGATCTTTGGTGGGGACTCAAGTAGGTCAGCTGACCCAAACTGACCAAAGGGATGTTCCATACCATATGACATCAGCTAAGATATAAAAGCTAAGGCAAGGAGCAGGAAGGGGGGCATTCATTGTCTCCAGCAGCTGCCTGCTGAGGAACCATTACACGCGCTGAAGCCCTGCTTCTTGAAGGTGACCGACCATCGCTGCTGATGTGAAGTAGAGAATAAACCATGTTATCTTCCGCTTTGCTCTTGCATGCGCAAGCTTTTGCTTTGCTTATGTTTTAATAAGCTGCCTTATCCCAACCCACGAGTTGCTTTCCATCTTGCTCTCTTCCCTGTCCAGCTGGGAAGGGGAGTGGCAGAGTGGCTGGGTTGGCACCTGGTGACCAGCCAAGGTCAACCCACCACACTAGTATATTACATATTCATTTAGCTTTCAAATGATGTACCTTATGCTGCAAGTGCTTGTTTCCCGGCACTTCTCTTTGCCCTAGACCTCGCAATTGGAGATGACATACCCCTAGCAACATCAGTGAGGTTCATTATTACATCTAATCTATTCTTTTGATACTCCGCTAAAGCTGAAGCATATTACAAAACAATGGGTTCGTCCTCAACCAAAACTTTGCAGAAATGATCCTGCTTGTCTCTGTCTTCCATAAGCACTGGGAACAACTACAGTGCAGTAAGTGTGCAGAGAGTCAAGGGGAAAAACAGTGCTATGATCCTTAACAGATTCGCAACTAGTGGCAAGATGGCAAGATACTGACTGGCACTTCAGACCTTTGCTCAGACCAATTACTAGATGGGAATTTTAGTGCAAACCAAAAGGTAGAAGATTACGTTATTAAACCCATACAGACCGATCATGGCACTGTTATGATCTGTATTCCCATTTATGTACTAAAATAAATAGTCTTCAGACATCCCAGATCTCATTAAACCTTTAGATTGTGAAATTTGGTCTCATGTAATTTGGACTTACTATACCTCACTAAACTGTTTGCAGCATCAGGATCTTGCGCCGTTACTGTGCCAACAGGAGTCCCAATCTTTGCATTTTCATAAACTTCCATGACATAGGAAGGCATAGTGAAGAGCGGAGGTTCATCCACATCGCCAACGATGATCTTCAGCATTGTTACATCTTTGAAAGGTCCCAAGTGCGAAAAGCGGAAATCAAGGTGAGTATTTGCTCCTTCTATATTAAGAGTATATGATTTCTTTTTTTCATAGTTGAGAGGCTGTCAGCAGAAAAAAACCAAAGATTTATCAGTGCTATTCTGTTTTTCAGTTTAGTCTGCTACCAGGTTAACCAAATCTTTTCTGCTTAACTTAAAAAACATTTTTTCGTGTTACTGGAAGGGAACAATATTCTTTGACATTCTTGCAGCCACTGCCATGCCTTCTAAGTAGAATGACTTACATGAAGCAGGATGGATTCAGTTTTTCTTTACAACAGAGTATTGGACAAAGTACCAGTTTTAGAAATAACTCAAGATTCAGAATGAGCCTCAGATTCTTCTTCCATGATAATGCAACATTTCTGGATTTTATCACCCTTTGATTTTAATCAGTAAATTCTAAATCCAGAAAAAGGCAGAGACTGATATATCCTGAATTAAATTAACTTTGCATTTTTAATTAAAAAGTTTAATAAACAGTAACAGCAATACTAAAATTCTTTTGGTCATCTCTTAAATCCTCGACTGAAAAAAGCAACTTCTTGCAGGAAAACACTCAGTTACTATAAGAGACATGAACTTTTATGACCAGGTGACCCATCCAGTGGAGGTAAAGGCTGTGGATGTAGTCCATCTGGACTTCAGTAAAACCTTTGATATTGTCTCCCACAGCATTTTCCTGGAGAAGCTGGCAGCCCATGACTTGAAAAGGTGCGCTCTTTGATAGGTTAAAAACTGGTTGGATGGCCAGGGCCACAGAGTGGTGGTGAATGGTGCTACATTCACTTGGTGGCTGGTCATTAGTGGGGTTCCTCAAGGTTCAGTATTGGAGCCAGTCCTGTTTAATATCTATATCAATGGTTTGGAGAAGGGGATCGAGTGCACCTTCAGTCAGTTCACAGATGACGCTAAGTTGGGCGTGAGTATTGATCTGCCGGAGGGTGGGAAGACTATGCAGAAGGATCTGGACATACTCTCAAGCTGCATCAAGGGAGGTTCAGGTTGGATATTAGGAAAAATTTCTTTACTGATAGGGTGGTTAAGCATTGGGAGGGACTGCCAGTAGGAAGTCACCATCCCTGGAAGTGTTCAAGAAACAACTAGACATGGGATTTAATGCTACGGTTAAGGTGGCATGGTGATGATCAGTCAAAGGTTGGATTGGATGATCTTGGAGGTCTTTTCCAACCTTAATGAATCTAGGATTCCATGTCTGTGTAAGAATAGCCTAAACATGAGCTTGTGTGTTTTTCTAATCAGAAAAATGCATCTCTATATTCTAGACCATTTTCTTTTCAATTCATTTCCAGTAACAAGAGAGACAAGATTTCAGCCAGTCCTACCAAGTACTGCTATACAGCACAATCCATCATGAATGGAATGGAAGTCTGTAGTTGGGGATATGCCTTCTACAGAGCCTAATGTGCAGTAAAATTCTCTAGAAGGCACATCCCCAGCTGTACCATACACCGGGAACACCTTTGCTGTTTTATCATTACCCTGTATTTAAATTAATGTATTCCTATGATGAATCCTACCTCTCTACTAGGAGAGAAGCTGGGAATCTGATTTGTATGTCACACAACATGGATACTTCCTTTCTTAGGACTCCCATTTCACACAAGTGAAAATTTTATCTACAGTTTCTCTAGTTTTCAGATTATTATGAACTAATTTTACTAACTTTATATATTTATTTTAATCCTACATCAGCATGCTAATGCACTGTCTTATTCAAGATGTAAGATAAACATGACACACCTGACTCCCAACTCTCCCAGTGTAGTAGAGGGGACTAAAAAGGATATTTAACTTAAAAGTAGAGAAGTAGTGAAGCTCATTAGCAGATATAGAGCTAGTCAATGTTTTTACTAGAAGTCATATTTACAGAACCACAACTATTTTGGGTTGGTTTCTTCAGTCTCACTAAAGTAATTGACTACATTTCATACACAGTCCATCAAGAATTTCATTTGAAAAGTAATTTTTTTCTATATATTGCCTGTTAGTTCTAATTATTAATTAAAAGGCTTTAAAAATACCAGCTCAGTTCCAGGCAGTCCTAAGGCAGATTTCAGATCATTTTTTAAATGTGCTTCTATGCTGGGCAAAAGCACTCATTCTTAATAATAAAGACCTCAATATTTTTTGTGTTACAAATTTATGACTTCAACCAATTTATAAAAAGTACAGGTAGGTTAATATTTTTTATTATACTTGACAAAGCAGGTAGTTTATACAGGTATATATAATACCACCAAGTTTCCAACAGTCTCAAAATACAGGCATAACATTAAAAGAGATTGCATATGCATGGAATCTTTTTTTTATTTTTCTTCTTTGGAATTGCAATTTTTAGGACATTATGGCATGGCAGAATTCCAGTACTACCAGTATAATTCTGATCATTCTGTGTGGACCTGACAACCTGTCTTAAAAAAACTCATTACAAGCATCGAAGCTTTCATCCAAGGCTAAACTGGTATTTCCTATCACCCCAAAGAGTGGAGAAGTAGTATTTTAGGCAGGACAAATGAGAAACTCAATGTATGACTTGTCAATGTCAGTGCATATTTTGTAGATAAAATCTACAATAAATTTGACTGATGATGTATAAGAAAAATAGTTGGTCAGGATTTATATATGCTTTATATATTTCTTTGATTTCTTCTCTGTGTACTGAAGGACAGTTAATTCATTTTCTTAACTCTAATAGTATGAGACTTTTTTTGACCCTTACATTCTCTGTCTCCCTTTTCCAAATGAAAAAATAAAAATTTTAAAGTCATAGAAATTAACCATAGCATAGTAAATCCACCACTATAAGAAAAAAGAGCTAAGTATGCTACTTGATTAAACCAATTCATAAAGAAACAAAAGTTTAGTAAATTCTAACTCAGATGTACTTTAATTTATGATGTATTTTTCTTATGAGCAGGGAAATATTGAATAGTAATTTACATTGCTCCGCAGCATATATATTCTAAGATTAAACAGGTTTACAATAGGATTGCAACTTGTAACTATGATGTCTTTTTAGAAAATTAAATTTATAATGACAATGACTGAATTAATTTGTATAGGAAGATTAATTTATCTCAGAAAACACAGAAAGACTCTTGTAATAACACAAAGTCTTGTTTTCTTCTTTGATGTAGTTATTCAATCAGACTTTTGCCCCTCTTTTTTCCAAGAATACGGGAATAATCCCCTCAGATAATCAGAAAACGCTGACATTTCAACCATAGCTAAAGCAGTTTTTTGCTTTCATTTGCTTTCTCTTCTTCCCATAACATCTTAATAATTAGCTGTAGCTATAAGGTGAGAGGCAGAATTGTCCTGTGTCTCTAGATATATATATCATTTCTATATTTACTTAAAACATTAACTTTTCCCCAGAAATAAGGCAAAAAAATTATATTCTAGATGAAAAAAATGAGAATTTTTATGTTTCTTATTTTTCCAAAGAATAATGCCTTTCTATGACAATTATCCACGTAACTTCAGTATGAATTTATTGTATGTTATGATTTTCACACCAAATGTCAAATGACAGTTTGTAATCAACCCTTCATGGAAAGATTTTTAGACTGAAGAATGGCTCCACAGGTTTGTCAATAGGGAAAATAATAAAAGTACTGGATGTTTTGGGTCATCCCAGAATGAGATCAAAAAATATTACTTCCAAGACTCACAGCCATAGTGTGCCTGTTGAAAAGCCTACTTGTAGGCTGAGAAATTTGATTTTTGCATCAGAACCTCAAGTAAGTGAGGTTTTAAAAGGTTTGAGGAGGATTTCAGATTGTTAGACAAAATAACCTATTTATTTCTGCCTTTTCTGGTTTTCCTATTGTAAATTCTTCTAGAGAATACTAGAGCAAAAATCATTCTATTTCTCTGTTACAGAAGGTACTGGCATCTGATATACAAAACAAAATCAGTTCTCTTCTTAGTGGAGTTTATCTGTTTTGGGTTGTGAGACCCTGGATCATTAAAAGTATTATTTTATTATTGGGTTGGAACCAACCCGTGTGTTTGTGGGGCAGGGCACACGGAACTCACACGGAACTCACACGGAACTCACATGGAGTAGCTGTCAGTCAAAAGGGCAGCCTGGGAGCCCACCCACGTCACGAACCCTGCAAGTCCTAACCCAGCCTCTGACTGGCTGCACCACCCTCACTCTGGTCTGGAGGCACAGAGTGGTCAGTGAGCTGGATGTCCTCCCTGGCAGGGGTGGCCACAGTGGCCAAAACACATAATTACAGCAGCATGTGGTTTCCATCTTGCCCTTTCTCTCTCAACCTGCCATTGCCATGTGGAGCAGGACTTCTGCAGGATTTTTCGGTGGTAGCTATTTTTCTCTAAATATCTTTTCATAATCTCCTTTCTCTCTCTTTCTTTACTCCTGTTTCTTCTCTTAATCTCTTTCTTTACTGTTTTCTGAATCTCTTTTGGGTAACTTAAAACCAGCAGGTTGAATTCTGCTAAGTTTTTGGTTTGACATGTGCTGGGTTGGTGCCTTGTGGAATGCTGTACCTTGGTTGTTTATTACCCCTTTTAAACCTTTACCAAAATCCTTATTTTCTCCTAAAATTAAAAGCCTGTCCTGGGAAAACCTGCAGAGCATTTTTCTCTTTAGGCTATCTCAAGGTATTAAGAATCAAAGGCTCTGCAAAAATTCAGTGGGTGAACTCTTGGATTCTCAAATATAAAAGTAATACTCTTGGTTAAGCTTGTGGCTTCAGCATGTGGGTCTTACATGGGTAGACTATCAAACAAATTCAGCTTGAAACCAAATCTAAATCAAAAGAAATTGCAGCACACAGACTATAAAATACTTACTAAATTACATACAGAATCTGAATGTAAAAAAAAAAGAAGAAGAAAAAAGATCACTTTTTTGTACTGTAAAATGGAATATTATATCTGAGGAAGTAATTGAGGTATTCACACCAATTTATGTAGCTTTAAGAGTTGAATTTCTACTCAACTGGAACATAACATTACCTAAGCAAAATGTACCCCTTCTTGTCTTGATGGGAAAATGATTCAAATCACTGTAGTGTATGTATAAGAATAGGCAACATATGCTTTTGTCGTATTCTGAAACGTAGTGAAAATTTCTCCGAAGCTATTTTGTCTGCCGAAAGCAGTAAGAAATGTGATTTAACACATTTTTATGTGTCTTTCATGTTTTTTCTTTCTGCTTCATGTTCTCAATATGTATAAATGTTGTAGTTAATGAACAATAGCCATAATGAACTTTTAAATAGAGTACAGTGTTCATTTTGAAGAAGAAATAACAGGCTATGGCATTAGCTACATCAGGGTCACCAGGAAATAAGTTCAGTGGTATAAAAAAAGACAGTTTACTTTTTTGTGGTTGAAAGAAGCAGGTATTACACAACCTTTATAAGAGATACTGGAAGAGACAGAAGCCCTTTTTAAATCATCATAAATTATAAAAATAAAATTTCCTTTAGTTACAAACTATTTTTAAGATGCTATATAAAAATGTGCATAAGTATATATATATCTGTTCAGAAGCAATATAAACACAAACATGTGTTGTGATAGTTTTTATTTAATGTCTTTTCTCGCATTTTCTGTGGATTTCATTCCTCTAACCATTAGTAAACCCCAGAATATGTACTAACAAATACATAATCACTTTTACTTTTTAGGCTATATGGATATAATTGATGTCTACAAGACAGTAACAAGTCCACATGAGAATTGTTAATTGACATTTGTTACTCCAAGTGAAAACTGAAATCAATAAATTTTCATTTGTTGGAAAGGTTTTTTAAAAAATCTTAAATATAATAACCCATATCCCTGGGTTATTATAAAATTAAATTTAAATCTAGTCATATAATATTAGCATAAGTTGGCAGACACTTCAAGAAATGTCCACCATGATCCTAGTTCAGAGGACTTAATATGGAGATGAAATTATCTATGGAATTAGATTTATGTATTGAATTCAGTTAAGAATGAAATTAAAAGGCAAGAAAAAATGATAAATAATGGTTTAAAAAGACTGGAAAAATAGAGGGAATTCATATAAATGATAACTGTATGATTGCTTGACCAGTAACATTTAAGGTCTTTATCACAATACTGGACCCTTTAGATGTCAGCTTTCAACTAAATCAAAGAATAACAGTCTATGAAAACTGAATTACACATCATTACCACAGAAAAACTTTCTATGTCAATATTCAAGTAGTTTGGGGACAACAGTACAACTTTCAGCCAAATTTTACTTTTTCCAAAGAAATTTAATGTACAAAACTATCACTCAGAAAAAGTGAGCTATCTTAATTAAAATTCAATAAGGTTTTTATAAATCAGAGTATTATAAATATTAGATAACACCATTAAAAAACACAGAAGGTTTAAATAACTGTTTCTTTCCTTGAATTTCTTTTCTTCCCACCTTTCCTGAAAAGATTAAGTGTCTCTGGGAACAATATGGAGAAGCTTACACTGCTGAAGTTCATGACTCTATAGGTTTACACAGTAAAATATTTTTGTTGTGATGTCTGCTTATTCAGCACTCATCATTATATTTTAATTACATACACAGGAAACTTCTGAAGTCTATGGCTTACCTTCTTGAGGGAAAGAATTCCTTCCCTTGTTTCTTTGTCAGTAGATATGGAGAATACCCCAGAGCCATCGCCATTTATAATTGTGTACTTCATGTCTGCATTGGAACCAGTGTCTGCATCATTTGCTTTGATTTTGCCAACTGCTGATCCAACTTGAGCTGACTCAGGAACATACAGTTGATAATGTTCTAAGGGGGGACAAAAAACAACAGCTTAAAGAATTTTTCTCCAATAATGTTACCATTGTGATTCTGAAAACTACCAGCACTGAAAATGAGAACATACATCCAATAGGTGTGCACATCATCCTTATTCCCTACCTAAACAATGCCAATACAAATGCCTTTTTAACAGTCTGAGGAGTTTAGATCACAGTCCAACCACCAACACAGAAAAGAGAGCAGAATAACTTCTGTTATTACACGTCTTCTGAAACTCTACAAAGTGTCTTTTATGTTCCTCTTAGGCATTCTGTGGTAGGGAGCGCAGTAGTGCAAAACTGAGTTGCAGGACAGCAGAAAAGTAGATTTGAAAGTGGATATATGAAAGCTAACATGTTGTTACATTTTGCTGAGTTTAAACCAGCTAACATGACTGCAGAGGTGCTCTTGGTAAGCATGTAGGGAAAGAAAGGCAAAATTTACATTGAATTCAGAGGTTAAACCTGAATTATGGCAGAAACCAACCACTGGCTGGCTGAAGAAATTATGAATCTACAGAATGTGCAGTTGTAAAGGGAATGGATGTCATCACTAAAATATGACTAACTTTATAGACACAGACAGAAGATTCCTAAACCTATTATTTGTGTAATACTAGTCCATAATACTTATAAACAAATAGTAGTGTGAGAAGGATGGATGAGAACATTAAACTTTGTTAGTCCAAAAGGAAAGAGAGTTTTCCTAGGAAAACAAAAAAAAAGTTATCATTCATAAGGGAAATCTCAAGGAAAACAAGAAATGTCCTGCAGAACAAGACAAAAAGTATGATTTGCCATGCAAAAAATAAAATACCAACACTGATGTAACGGGAGAATTACTGAGTTTAATGAAAACATATAGTTAATACTTTAATGCAATTCTTTGATATGCATATAAAAGCCACCTACGCAAATTTCCAAATAAATGATCTGCCATGCTTTGTGCTTACAGATGATGTCAACTGATATTTTTGTATTGCTGGTTGCTTTATTTCCTACATAAAATTATAATAATGGGATAATTTACTTATTGTTAGAACACATGCAAAATGTATTCTTTTGACACTTTTGCTCTGATTAATTATTTCCAAAAAGGGAAAGGTTGAGGCCATTAAGGATATGTTATATAATCAAGACGCTTCAGGAACTGGATGTGTTATATCTCATATGACAGGGTGAACTAATTGGAGACTTCCAAATAGTTTATAGCTAGTTCAAATATATCTGCATGACACTCCACTCTGCTTTATAATCACACCCCAAGTGTTAGCCATCTGTTTCAGAAAATCATTTTACTGATACCAGCTTGAAACATTCTTAAATACTAAAACTTCAAGCAAAACAAATATTTGAAATGACTCATTAATTATCTGTCAGTATTTGTAGAACTGAAATGTTTCAAAGAAGTAAATGGAGTTAAAAGAAAACTGTTAAAAAAAATTAAAAATGTTAGATCACAAGGTCAGAAATGTCTTCCAAATAGTATGTAACCATTACTTCACAGAGACAGCCTGAAGATGTCTCGTACAGACATGAGCCAAATAGATAAACAGAAACACTATCTAAAACCAACAAACATAGAGGATAAAATTCAGCAACAAGAAGGTTAGATAAACTGTATTATAGACATGTATTTAGGCTAGTGGTGAAAATTAGAAATGTTCTTACTAAACACTAAATCTCTGTAAACTTTATTCCTACTAAGAGGAACCAACTAAAGGCTCAATTGAACACTGGAACAGGCTCCCCAGGGAAGTGGTCACAGCACCAAGCCTGACAGAGTTCAGCGTTTGGACAACACTCTCAGGCACATGGTGTGATTCTTTGGGATGGTCCTGTGAAGGGCTAGGAGCTGGACTCGATGATCCTGATGGATCCCTTCCAACTCAGCATATTCTGTGATTCTTTGAACGTTTTCTTGGGCATTGGATAAAGGAAGTTTGATAATCATTATAAAATGTGGGATGTGTATGCTGTGATTCTTATGATTCTGTATTGTAAGCTATGAGTCTGTCTCAACCCTGTAAAAAAATTCATTGGGAATATGGTATCCCTGGGGATCAGGTATCATCAGTCTATACCAAAAGTGTTCCGCCAAATCTGCCCAAGTTGATCCTTCCAGCATCACAGAGTTCCAGGAGCTGTTGTAAAAGAGAAATTTCTTTGGGATGGTCTAATTTTTTCTAGAGGAGCTGCCCAGTTTCTTATAGGTCAAGAATCTACAGAGTTTGATTTGGTTCTCAATTTTTATAACATTCATTCAGATGCATTCTCATGAAATGAGGAAATTAATACTACTTTCCAGATAATGTACTGTATAGGACAGTTATACCACTTTGCAGGACTTTAATCTATGAAAATTGAAACATTTTTCAAATGTGTATATGTGATCTTCATCTTTTAATAAACTTTATGGCTTATCTGTCATTATAGTAATATACTAAGTATAATAATTATATTATCTGTAAAAATAATACAGAAACAATTTGTTTATCTTTAGAACAATTGACTTTCGTTTCAGTTAGTCTACAGGCAACCTGCAATGCTGTTATTTACTCTCAGAAAAGTGATTTCTCTGTCTGAACCTCTCAAAGAAAGAATTATGACAATATTTAATGAAAATCAATAAGTATATTATTCAATTTATTTCATTCATTAATCTATTTTGTTGATAATTTTGGTTTACTTTTATAGGTTATAATTTCTTCTTGAACAATAGGAATTACCTTACTTAACAAAGGAAGGGAGAAGAGGTATAATACCGAAGTAATAGAGAAACAAGCAAGTATCTGGCCTTCTTGTTACTTTTTTATCCAAGGTATAGTTTAGCAACATGAGGATAAATACTGCTTGGTGATGAACCAAGAGATGTGTTTATCACAGCTCATATGCTAATGCCTTTTTCTATCTACTAGTAAACTGATAAATTCAGCGTCTCATTGTCTTAACATAAAATACCACTGTATCCGAAATGTATATCAAAGTGTTATGTGAAGAAAGTTTTCCTTGAACTTACTACCTAAATATTCATTCATGAACCAAACTGATGAGATATGGAGAATAAGGAACAGTGAGCCAAGCTTGAAGTCTGATGATTATGAGAACAAAATTCCAATTAAAAAGTAGTTTTACAGGAATCAAAACTGTGGCCAAAAATATTTGATGTGGTAATTAATCACCTGAATAATGGGTTGCATGGGTACAATACCATCTTGGAAAAAGCTGGTTAGTATGCTGGAGAGCAGGGCTGCTGTCCAAAGGGACTTGGACATGCTGGAGAAATGGGCTGACACAAACCTCATGACACTCAATGATGGCACCAGAGGAGAAATAATGCCATTCATCAGTACATGCTGGGGCCAGCCCATTATAAAGCAGTTTTCCAGAAAAGGATGTGAAAAGGACCTTATAACACTTTACCAGACAAGGCTCTTAGCAACTTGGTCTAACTGAACCTGCTTTAAGCAGGGCTTCAGGTCACATTGCCTTTTCAAGTCTTACATGAACTTATGATCCTGTCATTTATGAAAGTATGTCTTACATTTTACTGCCTACCATCTTTGATAAAACTAAAATGGAGCTCCAGCTGTGGATTGTGCTCAATCTTCCTTGGTGGCTTTGTTTGAGAAAGTTATTCTGAATTCACAGAGCTGCTTGTTTTCATTAAACCTAACAGATTAATCTGGATTTCTCTTTTGAGACTGCAGTTTTAAAGAAGTCTATTTCTCACAGTATGTCTTGGACATTTGTCACATCTTTCTGTACTATGCTTATTTTTAATATAACAAATCCAATTTTAATCCATCATCATTATGAATACAGCAACTTTTATGATTCCTGCAGCTCAGTCAATTTTATATCTACTGGCCTTGATCTGAATATTCTTTTTGATGCTCATATCTCTTTCATACAACTAGACTAAGAAAGAAATTTTTAAGGGGTATGTGTGGCTTATTCTTCTTCCCTGATACAAAAACAACACTTTTGCACTTTCTAAAAGTGTTTGAAGCATAAGTGAAGTTACTTCTTATTTGCAAATACAACACTAAAACAACTTCAAAACTCAAATCCTTCAAAATTTGTTTGCCTTGAAACTCTTAAGAACATAGCAATCTTGGGTCAATTTAGAAAAAAAACACAAACATTCTTCTTCAACGCAATAGAATCCATTGGCTGGAACAAGACTTGTGCACCCCCATGCCCCTGCTTTTTACAATCCCGATGTAAACCAGAAGTTATGGTTGTGATTAAGATTTTAATCAGGGTTTATGTTCCATGACACTCTGCCTTTAGAGACAGCAACTAAAAGTTCTTGAGAACTTTCTGACTAGTTCTCAGAGATTAAAAGTGTTCTGACTTCTTGTAAAAAGTGTGTTGTTTATGCCACTCATAGGTAAAAGCAGAAAGATAAAGAAAACTGGGTTTCCTGGATTTTCAGAAGTACTTCCTGTAGGCACTGAATACCAAAATATGCATTTTCTATGCAAAAAGCACTGGAAAAACAACATCTACACTCCATAATCATTGCTAATGGGCAGTTTAACAGCTGGATGTGATCTCTAGCACTGTCTAGAGAGACTGTACACCAACTGTACTCACAAAGGAAATGTCACTCACTGGTCATTCACTTTGAAACCTGAGCATATGTTTTATAAACACAATTAATTAACTAATTAATTGTTCCACAAAAAATTGGAACAAATCTCCCCCTTTAAGAATGTGTGAGGAGCAAAATACTTTTTAGCAGTAAAAGTCTGTGACTATTATAAGAAAACGTAATAGTTACAAAGATAGGAAGTGATGAGCATGAAATACAAAGAAGACATTCCTCTAATTATAATGAAAAAAAAAATCTTAATAAATTAACAACAAATAAATGTAGAATAATTTCTATAATAAAATACTTTCTAATACTGCCTGGATACTGGATCAGTGTTGAACTCATCATCGTCAGGTAGAATCACAGACTCATAGAAGGACTTATATTTGAAGGGACCTTAAAGATAATCTGGTTTTAAGTCCCCTGTCATGGGCAGGGACACCTTTCACTAGACCAGGTTGCACAGAGCACCATCCAATCTGGCCCTGAACACTTCTGTGATCATTTTAACTCAATAGTTTCCAGTAACTTTTTTTTAACCCTTGCCCAATTTCAGACAACTCTAACAAAAGAGCAGAGCCCTAAAACACATTATGATTCCACAAGCCTCTTAGCACTTACTGGGTGAATAAAGAAAGACCTGCTAAAAGAAAATCAGAAAAAATTCTGCTTTACTTATCTCATTTGGCAGGATCCAAATGGTAAAACAGCAGGCAGATAGTTCTGAACTAGTCACCACAATAGGAGAGGATGTCACTACTAGTGAGAGAATGCTGATGGGTGCATATGGAAATTATAGGAACTGGATATACTATGTGGAACTGGGGATACAGACAGGACCACACTGGAGTATGAATTTCAAAAGAAAATGAATAGCAGATACTTTTGCACATAATTATCTAATGAGTCATATTAACAAGGCTGGATAATAGACACCTTCCTAGCACTGAACAGAGTTAATGTCTACTTCTGCAATATTCCTATTTAACATGACTGTGTACTTTTCATACAATGACATTGTAAAAATCTAGGTCAAACTATGCATCTACATAATTTCACATTATATTTACATACTACCATGAAACAATCAAGGTTCAACAATCAAGCTATATGAAAAGTGTTTTAAGCCATGACTTGTGTTTAAATCCTGCTTTATCCTGAAAAACTGAGCTAGATGTATCAATCTACAAATTAGACTCTAGACAATAACTACATAATAACACAATAACTACAGATCTCCTACACACAGGTCAGAATATAATAATTAGCACTTGATGTACAAAGCATGTCAGTTGAAGCATCTGTCTAGTGTGATGGTCTTGATGCAATCAGAATCTCTTCATATTAAACAAAGCAAAACACACAGAATTTATTCATCTTAAGCAAGACCAGAAAGAATTAATGAAGGAAAAGTATACAGAATATTTTGATGTCACTCAAGGCTGATAACAGTGTCATCAGTAGATGGAACATCTTCTATCAAAATACTGAAATAAATTTATGACTTTGATATTAGGGCCCTTAGTCATCAGCCACATGGATCCATCAGTGGTAAAACTAACAAGAATGGAGAGATGCAAAAATCTTCCCATGTAGAACACTGTCTGTCAGCTTACGTTAAATAGATAGTTCATTATAACTCATCTCTCTAAAGAAAGGAAAATTGTGATGATGAAGAAAAAGAAATCAGTATTATTCAAAATGCACTGAATTAATTGATGAGCAAAATATATTTGAGGTTTCAGGCTATTCTCCTGCTGATTTTGCAACTCCTTGCCTACTTTTGAGGCAGACTAGTGTGTTTTGCATACAGAATTTTTCATCTATGTTTCTTATTACAGAAATGTTTATTAACAATTATGTCAGAACCGCAGCCATCAGACTGACAAAATTATGCAGTCCTGTTTCACATTATTCCTTCTAGATTTTTTTTATGTTTTGGAAAACTATAGCTCTTTTTTTAGAAATTTCTTTGCAAGAAAATCAGCTATATTTAGAGTAGGTACAGAGAAAAACAAAGTAAATTCATTTAAGCAGACATATTTACAACCTTTATTTCTAAGTCTTAAGTAGGGTTTTAAAGAGTTTATTTAGGGGGAAAAATCCTGCATATACTACTGCAAATACATGTCTAATGACCAATGATCTACCAAAGCCAGAAAGGTACCATCTTTTAAATACATATATTTCTAAATAAAACAGATAATAAAGGCATCAATCAGATGTGCTTCTCAGTATGTTCTCAGGTAAGGTACTCATACAGTTAGAACCAGATTCAAAACTCAAAAGTATGGTAACGGAGAAAAAGAAACTAACCAAAAGAAAGTCTGTGGTTTAGCTGAGGCTCAGCCTGTCCCAAGGGTTATACACTCGATATGTGCAGTTTTGGTTAGCACTTCCCTTGAATTCAATTCTGAATGTGACAAACCTCAGTAAGTCTCATTTAGCATTCCGTCTAATAAGGAAATTGAAGAGAAATTTAACTGAAAATTATGGTACACAATGAAAAGAGAAGAAAAATAAACAATGATGTTATTTCCGTTAGTGCAAGACTCGTGTATTATTGTAATAGTTCATGATGCTACAATGGCCTTTTTTAGATCAACTATACTTTCATTCTCTATTACTGACATATAGCTGCTGTTCTTTTGCAAGGGGCTTAAAATATATTTCTTGAAATGGAGTAAAAAAGTAATGTCATTCATAGCTGTGGTATAGAAATCCTCTGTAAGGAAAGAAAGCAAATACTTGTACTCTACAAGACTTGTTCTAAAATAATATTTTATGCTAAAACCAATAAATATTAAAATAATATTCTGCTGGTCAGTCAGTTTGATATCCAGACCCTTCCATTCAAAATAAAAGACGTCAGTTTTTGATACCTGATAGGTAGGGATTTGTTTCTGCATCCATTGAGTTTGAAGAAAATTTATGACATTTCTTCTACTTTAGCTCATTTAGATGTTAAATCTGTTCAAAGATAGGTCTTACCTTTTGCCTTTCCAATAGTTAGAAAGTATTTAATAGAATGATGGATGCAATGAAAATTCTGTGGAACATGAAAACAAATATATTTTATTTAAGGCCATGTTTCAAAGGCTTTATGTTTTCATGTGCTTCTGAGGCAAAGAAAAAAATATTCATTTCTGCAACACTTTAAATAAGCCTACGTACTGTTTGGCCAGATTTTATATAATGTGTATTGCCAGGGAGCTTTGTTTTTCTGTGGAGCTTTGTGGTCTCTACTACTTTATAAATCTTCTAATTCAAACAGCTTAATGCATTTCCTAGTGGATGTACCTATAGCTACCAGTCCATTATGTTCTACAACAGCTCACACAATGTCTGAGACCAGATTACAGTATTCTTTTTGGCCCTGAGCCATCATGAAAAGGAAACATTTCAGAGGATTTTTAAATAAATTGTCGACTGAATTCAGAATTCCTACAAGACCCCAGCTACTGTGTCAGATCAATCTACATCTAATACATTGGATAGAAATTAATTTCTTAATAATGGTCATATTAAGATATTCTAGGAGTATTCTAGTATGTATTCTTCATATGTACATGTGATAACAATATTTGACATCAACATCACCAATTCACTTAACTAGAATAGAGGCAGACTCCATCATAGCTCAACATCAGGGAGAAACAGCTTTTGCCCATCTGTAATGTAATAATTGATCTTAAAGGTTTACTTGGGTATAGAGAAAGAAACAGAAGAAAAAAATTGATGTATGCATATGGAAGCAGCCAAACACATGCTAGATTAAATCTTTTAATGCATTACCTTTTGTTGTTATCTACCATAGGATTAGCGTAATTCCCTTGTGGGATCAAACACACAGTTATTGAAATACACATTCAACAAGGACTGGAGAATAATCCGCATATGACAAGAGTATTCCTTTGTCCTATCTCACTCTTATCCAGTAGTTAACTGAAAGATGTCTTCACTGGTTTCAGTATTCTAGCTATGCCATCTCCGTGGTTCATCTAAAACCACTGGAAAATTAAAAAATATTCGTGAATCCAAACACCTCCCAAGCTGCCTTCTCCCCATGAATTTGACTGCTAACTGGATTTCACTAATAGTTTCTCACTTCAATGAAAATCAAAATGATTTTCAAATCAGTTATATGTTGAAATTGTACATACTCTGAGGAAACCTGGGTGGATTGTCGTTGACATCAGTGAGTGTGATATTTACAGTTGTTGACCCTGACAGCCCTCCGACCTGCCCAGCCATATCTTTGGCTTGAATGACAACGGAATAATGCTCTCTGGCTTCCCTGTCCATGTTGTGCAAGGCAGTCCTGATGACTCCTGTGAGGGAAAGAAAACAAACAAACAAACAAATGATCAGAATTAGCTTGTTCAAACAAGAGCAAAGGCTGGGTATAACCTTTCTCTTAAGTTGTCTTTAGTCATTTGTGTCATATATATATAAAACACAATGCCAAATGCTGCTAGAAAATCAATTTGCTTGAGGTTATAGAGAAATCAAAATAATATTTATTGAATCAATTATTATACTACCAAATAATTAATCTAATTTATAAAACATTTCTAGCCTAAATATACATTGCCAAAATACCAGTGTTTTCTCACATATTGTAACTGCTTAAATAGCTATTTAAAAGAAAAAGTAATGAATGGGAACTCTTATTCCACTGAATAAGACACAAATTGTATTTTAACAAAAGGTAATTTCTTATTTAAAATATGACATACTTCTTAAAACTACTCAAAAGCTAAATTTTCTTATTTGACAAATCTCAAAAAAGATACTTTTGTATTTAATATAAGTCAATCATGTAGATTTATGTTCATAAGTGTGACTTAACTAATAATTGTCTGTAAACTAAAAGATAGGCTTTTAATTGGTTTGACTACAGTACACAGAGAAAATCAAAATTGAATGAGCCTAAAATTCTATCCATTATTATCTATCACTATCAGATTTTTTTTTTCACATTTAGTTAATTATACATGCAGAAGCAAAGATTAAAATAAAAGTAGGGACAGTCAATACTGTGGGCACAGTTTCAGTTAGGGGACATTTTTCACCTTTAAATTAGGCTCTGATAATTTCTTTGATCACAGGCTGACAGAAACATCATGGAATTCAATAAAGGGAAATGTCAAGTCCTATGCTAGGGAATCAGCACACGCTGTGGACAGTCTAGCTGGGAAGGAGCCTTTCAGAAAATGATCTGGGGTGGTAGTCAAGTTGGACATGAGCCAGCAATGTGTTCTCGCAGCAAACAAGGTCAACTGCTTTCCAGGTTGTATTATGAAATGCATTGCCAGCAGGTCAAGGGAGGGGATCCTTCTCCTCTGCTCACCATTCATGAGGTCAAATCTGGAGTGCTGGGTCTAGTTCTGAGCACACCAGTACATAAAAGACATTGATAGACTGGAGTGAGTTTCATTGAAATAAATAGAGAACTATGAAAATTTATAAACATTATATTTGCAAAGAATTAAGGTTTTAGCTTAACTTGTTTTGGACTCTTAAAGTGAGTGGTTGCTATAACCAGTAAGAAAATATACCATAGCATGATCAAATGTTGCTTCTGGGTAAATTTTAAACATACAATAGCTAGTAAAGCAAAGCATCTTAAGTAGAGCCTTGCTCTTCTAGACAATTTTCTGTACAGTATGATCTCAAGCTTTTTGACCCCCAGAGTTTCAGATAATGTAAAAAATGGTTTCCAGAACACTACTTTTCCTGTACTTTAAGATTACTTTCTATGCATTTTTTTTGTGAAACCATTTAGCCATTATTATATACAAAATGGAAATTTTCATGTAGCTTATGTAATTGTTTCCACTCTATTCTGAAAACAAATCACACATAAATAAGTAGATCTATCCACAGAGAATAATATTTTAAATTATTTTAACACAGTTTTGCACTGTAAGTTCCTTTCCATCAGAAGTGTAGATTTTGGACAAGCTGACTAAAAATAGTATACAAGTCTGTTTTAGTTCATCAGTGCTTTTTTCCTTAAAATGATACAGTTTGAAACAGACCCTTTTTTTGGAAATTGCAGTATGGTATGTTGAAATTAACCACAACTTATACACATTGTAACACAAATATGTGGAGGCATTTGGATAAAAGAAACTGATATAATTTAAATATACATTTTCATCAAAATAAATATTCACAAAATTTGGTACTACTGTTCTGAAAATTCATTTTACTGAAAAAAAGGTATATAGGAAAGTATTGGAATAAAGAATGTCCTACTTTGACATTTTACAAATAAATTGCTTCAGTTTTTTTATATTGACACCAAATGTATTGAAACATTTCATGCTTATGCATATGCATGTATGAAGTATGGGATTTTTAGAACCTTCCATTTCTATTTGAAACAGACCAAGTGTTACATAGGAGAACATCTGTCTTCTGTACTATCCTCATAAATACACTAGTCACTTACATTTCTAAATTAATTTAAACAAACAGAAATTCCTCTGTATTATGATTACTTTCCTCTTCTTTTCTGCTTCAAAGACTGTGATACTGAATCAATGCTTATAGATAGCTAATAAGGATTTGTGGATGACTAATCATTTGACCTCTCTCACTTGCAGCAGGTTCTGAAAAATCTCTTTTCTAAAAATGAGTAAAGAAAATGAGCAAGTTTTTGGTTTCCAAAGCTTATATTCAAAGTTTAGAATAAGAAAACTAGTTTTAAACTTTGATGTGCTGAAGGCAGGACATAAGGGAAAATTTAGTTCCCTCTCTTTTCTTGGATGCATGTATATTTATACATCCCAAAATCATAAGATCAATATGAAGTATCTAACTACCACGAGGATCCTAATGCTTTATCCTTGTCACTAGTAGCTCCACCAACTGTTCTGGCAGTATAGCACTAAAATCAGACTCAATTTCAGATTTCTCTCATGATCCCAAAATGTGTAAGGAGAACTTTCTTATATGTCTTTTCCAATAAGACAATATTACACGCTCCAGCGATTTCTTTAAAACTAGGAATTGCCCCTGAGTATATGCTGTGTACTTGGCAGGGATTCCTATAAATCCCATAAGAAAATGGGAAGTTCATCTTAAGAAAGATGTTTCTCTGACTAAAACAATAAGGAAAAAAAAAGTTAAAAAGAAAATTGTCACAGGCTTTTTAAATTTAAACACAACCCTGATTTTGTCTCATATTTATTAGGCAGCACCGTGACCCTGTTAACTGAGCGCTTTTCAGCTATGACTCCAATATTTATTTATCTTTACTAAGAAAAGAAAGCAAGAAAATAAAAAAAAATCAAGATATAGACATCATTGCAGATATAACTCCATCCTCTTTCTTGTATTAAGTGAAGAATTTTTACAGTTTGACTGTTGTGTCAAAAATCACGTACAACATATGGAAGGCTATAGCTGTTGGAACAGACTTGAGAAGGACGTACAATTCTGGACCTCTGCCCTCACAAATGGTCATACCTATTTCTATCTTAAAATTGTGACAGATGTTTTATCCCACATGGAAGGCTCTCCCAGAACACAAATTTTCTTCTAACTTCTTTTCTACATCTATTCAGCTCTAAATCACACCAGTTTTGGTAGGATTTTTAGTTTTGTTTTTTTCTGTGACAATTTCTATTTGAAATATGACATGAAAACTACCTAGTTTCCAGATAAGACTTTAACACCAACTTTTCTTATTAAAACATTTTTATTTTTTATACAAAGTACATGTTATTGGCAGATTCATCTATAAATGAATAATATTTCCTCCAGTGATATTTCCAAATTAATGAGACCAGAATTACTGCAGAACCACAGAATATCTTAAGTTGGAAAGGACAAAGGATCCAGTCCTACTCTCTGCTTCTCACAGGACTAACTAAAATAAACAATATATTTACTAAGTAGTTTTACTACATAGTACTATTAAATTTGATTATTCTACTCTGAAGGAGAAAAAAAATACAATTTTTGCACTTTAACACAGATACTGAACAAGTCAGTAGATACATTTCTTTACAGTCAATACCTTCTTTTCCCCAAGATTTCTGTAAGACACTTCTACGGTCTACAGCATCTGACAGTGTGTTATATTGTCTCTTTTAGCATTCTATGAAGAACCATTTTACTTACATACAACAAAACCTACAACAGAAGGTTCCACTGTGACTGAGATTGTAAAACTCAAGACTTTAATTCAAGTGCAGACAAATATCAAGGAAATGTCTGCCACAGCCAAGTGCCTAACTATGCATTTACTGAAGTATTTAACTATGTAGTTAAATATCGGTCTGGTACTCTTGAAATAATTTATCTTATTACATCCACAAAATAAGAACTCATTTTAAATTCAGTAACCACAGCTTAGTCCTGCATGATATCCGAATGGAATTGCCCCAGAATAAAACATGGTATATTTCAAAGTTTTGAGCTCAAAGGTTTTCTATCTAGTGGGGAAAACACAACTCCACTTTGATGACAAATTAGTTTATCATGGGGAAGTAAGTTTTTTTTTGTTTGGAAAATTTCTATTCCATTGGATCATGAGCCTGGTCACTAGAGATTTGATGAAGAACCACTAGATCATACTAGATTCCCCATATTCTAGTTTTTTATATATCTGTCTTGTCATGATCATAGCCAATAATGATTCAAATATAATTTTAAATATCTATTTAATAACCGATTAAATGTGGGATTTTACAATCCACTGAGGGATGTGAACTATTGCAGAGGATGATTTCATTAATATTATTTTTATTTTTTGAACAAAAATTCTATTTTTGTCACTGCTTTGCTCTAGGATATGTATCTAGCTTGTTTTATTGTAATTTAATATTCTCAATATATTGTATATATTAAAATACATTTTAAAATCTAATAATATTCTACTTTGAAGGAGAAAAAAAATACAATTTTTACACTTTAACACAGATACAGAGCAAGTCAGCAGATACTTCAAAATAAACTTCAAATTTAGAAGTCCCAATAGACTTTGACTAAGACTAGTGATTTAGTCCAAATCATAACTGTAAACAGAAATGTGCAATACAAAGCTTCTGGTCATACTCCACATTCTGAATACTTCTATAACTAAGATGTTTTAATCTGGGCCCTTGAGTCAGATCTGCTTTATATAAGTAATATTACACATTTTGTTCCTTTACAGGGACATCACTAGCTACTTCATGGTTAAAAGTCATAGCATTATAGAAATGATAATTAGTGGTCAGTTTTCTTCTCTGGTCATGATAGTATAGAGATAGTACTGAAAGGCAGCCATTTCTTATGGAAATTTATCATTGAAATGAAATACATGAATCCCTCA